AAAAAAAAACAAGCCCTTCGTACTTGCGCGGGTGCGTGCGTGTAACCATGGTCACAGGCATCCTATTGCTTATGTGTGAACAGCTAGGGGAAAGGAGTTCACACATCACTAGCACCAGTCCCACCAACAAGGTCGGCTCCCCCTGTCAGCTTCCAGAAGAAGATGACTTAACTGTATTTGAATAAATGTAGACTGTTGTATTATACTTAATAAAAATAAGATATCCCCTGAAAATAAGACCTAGTGTGTCTTTTTGAGAAAAAATAAAAGTAAGACAGTGTCTTATTTTCGGGGAAACATGTACATAGAACAATTCAAAAAAGGGGAATGTTCATGTCAAGATGAAACATCTTTCTGTTTTTGTTTTTTTTTTGCATTTTTTGGTTCTGGCTGGGTTTGAATCTGCCACCTCCAGCATACAGGGCCAGCACCCTACCCATTTGAGCCACAGGTGCCGCCCAAGATGAAACATCTTGAAGAGATTTTCTATACCAACATATCACCCAGTTTTCAGGCATCTGAAACTCATTCATGCATTACAGAAATTCCAAAAAACATTTCACAAAGAAAGGAAATGAACCCTTAAGACAATGGTCACCATTTCTGGCACCAGAAACTGGTGTAAATTATTTTTCCATGGACCACAAGCAAGGGGTTATCTTTTTTGGATGATTCAAGCGCACTGCATTTCTTGTGCAGTCAAACCTATTTGCTAATGATAATGTTTTGCAAGTTCATCAGGCATCAGACTCTCATAGGGAGCACACAACTGAGATCCCTCACATGCAATTTACAGCAGGGTTTGTAACGTGCAGAGTCTCATAACATTCCTATCAGACTCTAATGCCACCACTGATCTGACAGGAGGCAGAGCTTACACAGCAATGTGAGCAATGGAGAGTGGCTGTAAATACACACAGCGCCTCCCTCGCTTGCTCCCTAGCCTGGGTGGCCCCATTCCTAACAGTCCACAGCCCTGTGATACATTAGAAACCCAAAAGCGAAGTTATCCTCACCCAGGGAGACGAGGTTTCTGTAGTTCTCTAATGTCACATCCCTATACAAATTCCTTTGAGCAGGATTCAGGCACGCCCACTCCTCCAGAGATAATTCTATGGTCACATCCCTGAATGTCAGCATTTCCTGGGGGAAAAAATACACATTCAACAAGCAGCCATGGTCAACATTATTAATTTGACTAAAGATAGATGGCAGAGTGAGGAGAATTGCCTGTGACTCACATGAGTGACTGGGATTATCCAGTAATTAACATAGTAATATTCACTAATGTATTCTCTAATTTAGAAGAGATCTTATACAAATATAGATTCTAATTCACAAAATCTAAAGTGGGATCTCATTTTCTGCATTTCTTTTTTTTGTAGAGACAGAGCGTCATTTTATCGTTCTTGGTAGAGCGCCATGGCAAATTAGGGCACTATAAGCAAAGAAAAACTGAAAAGAAAGAGAAACTACCAGATTGAATGAGATGGTGTATGTACATCAGTCAATAAATCGCCTAATAAATAAATAAATAAATCTCCTCAATATACTTAATAATGAAAACAAAACTTCATAGTGTAGGAATCTGCCAGAAAGCTCCTTAACCAAGTGAATGAACACTAACTTTAAGAAAACAAATTGGGACTCGGTGCCCGGAGCACAGTGGTTATGGCACCGGACACATGCACGGAGGCTGGTGGGTTTGAACCCACCCCGGGCCAGCTAAACAACAATGACAACTGCAACAACAACAAAAAAATAGTTGGGCATTATGAAGGGCTCCTATAGTCCCAGCTACATGGGTGGCTGAGGCAAGAGAATTGCTTACGTCCAAGAGTTGGAGATTGCTATGAGCTATGATGCCATGGCACTCTACCGAGGGTGCCATAATAAAACTCTGTCTCAAAAAAAAAAAAAGAAAGAAAGAAAATAAATTGGTATAAGGTGCTGATGTCTACAGAATGCATCACTGCGATGAGGCTATTAGCCAAACAAAAGTAAATTATAATCTGAATGTAATCATGAACACTGGTTTTACCAAAGCTCAAACCACATGTATCTCTATGTTCTGTAATCTCTAATAGTTTACTGAAATAGTCTTCTTTAGCATCCTACAGAGTATGTCTGTCCGCCTCTTCTATTTTACATGTTTCAGAACTTTCTGATTTATCTTGGGCAACTAATACCATCATCTTTCTTCTGGTTGTCACAGAGATAATGAGACATTTTGAGGGAAACTCAAGGGTACATATTCCCCTTCTTCACTGGTATCTGAGAATCCAACTTGTGCCAAAGAGGAATCCTGAATAGCCACACCTTCCCATGCTGATCTATCAAGAGGCAATATTTTCAGGATAGCCAGTCATAACTTCAGGGTAAAAACTGTTAACAGTACATAAAAAGCCCGAATACAAATAATGCAGAGAAGAATCTGATCTATAGAGAAGGATTTTAAAAGAGCTCCTTACAAATCATAGGAAAGGGGGAAAAAAGTAGTTGAGACAATTTTGTTAAGAAAGAACATCAGAAGAGGGGGAGCAATGGTTTAAAAGGCCTAAATACAGGACATTCTAGGAGTAAAAGTGGACACAACCCTGACCTGGAAGACACTTACCGGAGAACCAGCCATTTCTTCTTCCTGCTTCTTTAAAATTCCCAGGTTAGATTACTAGACACATCACAACTGCATCTTGAAAATATGCACTTCAGGGAATCCAGGAACACTCCTTCAACTGCTGCCACCACACTCACAGGCAGAGGGACCTGGAAGTGCAGAAAAAGCCACATTTACCTTTTCTTTGTAACAAGAAATTCAGGAACACTGAGCTCCCACATAAAGACCAAAATGTGGGCTCGATGTCTATAGCTCAGTGGTTAGGGCACTGGTCACATACACCAGGGCTGGTGGGTTCAATCCCAGCCTGGGCCTGCTAAACAAACCAGCAACAACAACAACCATAACAAAAATAGCCAGGTACAGTGGCGGGGGCACTTGTAATCCCAGCTACTAGGGAGGGAAGCTGAGGCAAGAGATCACATGAGTCCAAGAGTCTGAGGTTGCTGTGAGCTATGACAACAAAGCACTCTACAAAGGGTGACAAAGTGAAATCCTGTCTCATTAAATTAAAAAAAGACCATATGTATACCATGGAATACTATTCAGCCATTTAAAAAAATGGAGACTTTACAGCCTTTGTATTAACATGGATGGAAGTGGAACACATTCTTAGTAAAGCATCACAAGAATGGAGAAGCATGAATCCTATGTACTCAATTTTGATATGAGGACAATTAATGACAAGGGGAGGGGGTGAGCAGAGAGAAGAAAAAGGAGGAAGGAGTGGAGAAGGGATTAGCAGAGAGAGGGAAGGAGGGAGGGACGAGGGTGGGGTCTTGGTGTGTGCCACACCTTTTGGGGGCAAGACCCAATTGTAAGAGGGACTTTACCTAACAAATGCTATCAGCAAGACCTGGTTTCTTGTACCCTCAATGAATCCCCAACCAAAAAAAAAAAAAAGACCAAAGTGTGAGTCTTTCTTCTTGTCTTCAGATACTCTCCCCTGTCACAGCCATCAGGGTTTTCTACTAGTACATGTGGAATATGGGACACATTTACCTGCTACAACCACACCCAAGCAGAGCAGGCCCTGTAGCTTCCCTCTGGAAAAAAGCCTAAAATCAACTCATGAAGAGATCTACTTTGTAACAGAACAAGCAATTTAATATAGAGCATCAGCATTTTCTAGGACAATTAAACTAGATATTAAATACTTAACCTGAACACAATGTCCCAGACACGCTGTCCCAGAGGGACAAATGTAACTACAGAGGGCCCTATGCGACTATACACACCCCTAGACAAAGAGCCCAGGGACAGACAGACAGAGACGGAGAGAGCTTTTCTCTCCCTACTGGAAGCTTTGGTGTTTTTGTATTCTTTTCTGAAAATAATCCTGTCTTACCACTGATCTG